GTTGGAGTGAGAGAGATGAAAGAGAAAGGATTGAGAGGAATGAGAGAGGTGAGTAAGGGTTTGGGGGTTTCTTTTTTTTTTTTTTAAGTTTTGAGAATGAAAATTATTAAAATACCCTTAACCTTAAAACTTAGAATCCATGATATATAAGGATATTTTTGTCTACTAAAACCCGGTACACATTGCTAAAATGTACCAACTGAAAAACAGGCGTACGCGCGTTAGCAAACCCCATATATATATATATATATATATATATATAATTATAAGAAATATAAAGGCATTTTTTAAAAAAATTAACTAAAAAAACGAGTTGTAACGACTTCATCATGTTTCTTAATAAGAATTTTGAATTATGTTATAAACTTAAACTTAATATAATCAAAGCTCACTTTAGCATATAATGTTGATATGACATCTCATTAGAGGGAAAATTATAATTTATTATAAACATTTTTAATCTAAATACAAATGCAAATTTCATAAGTTATGATATGTTTATAGTATAAATAATTATATATCTAATACATGAATAACTTTCAGTTAATCTACATAATATGAATCATCGAATGAAAAAAATATTTCTTTTCAATTATACATTTATGTGTTCAATAATATAAATCCCACATTTATTTAATGTCATCTTAAAATTATCTCAAATAATTCAGTTCAATATATCATACACAATTAAACATATTTTCATATAATTATTTTTGTATAAATTTAAGCATATCAATTAATACATTGTTAAAGAGGTGTACAATTATACATTGATTATTTAAAAAATATAATAACGAGTCTCATTTTCCAAAAGTTTGATCAAAACATTATGATTTAGATAAGTTTCAACATTTGAAACAAAGAAAGTTTTATTAAACCTTTTTCGCTCATACAATATTATAGTTGTTTTAACTTCGTATTAACAATTGAAGGATAGATAGATAGGAAAAATTATATAATAATGCTAACTTTATTATATACGTTTTAAAAACAAACAATAATCTTAATTATTTATACTATTCTGCATGCCGTAATGTACTAAAAGAAGTAACTTTTCATTTAAGTGTTCGCAATTTCAAAATATTTATTTTTCTTGAGTAGTCATTGTTTTAAAAATATTAATTTTAGACATATATAAAGCACAACTAATTTTAGATTTAATCTTCCAATTTTAAAAAAACTAACCAATTTTAATCTATACTAATATGTCATCTAATTGCTTAATATATTTGAATAATATTATTTTTTGTATGTGTTAAGCAATATCTCGTATTAATATTTATTTGAACTGTGTTAAATAATATAAATTATTTAAACACTAACTAAAAATATCCATTAATTTACGAGGACTATCTATTACTTTTTCAATTTGAAGATAAAATTATATTATCGTTTAAGATTGAGAAAAATTTCGTATCCCATTTGAACCCTAATATGTAATTAAGATTTTGTAAAATTATACCATTCATTTAATAAATGCTTTATTTTCATTCACTTTTTTTAAAAACTTAAATAATCTTAATAGTTCACATCCTAACTCCTATTTAACAGATGCATGCATGAACTTAATCTTCTTTCCGATTTTGGTCAAAGTCAAAACCCGGTGTTTTCTTTTCTATTTTTTTCCATTTTACCACCCTGTTCTTCATAATTATCATTATTTCCAATTACACCTCATTGTTCTTAATATTATACAAAATTAGTTTTCTACTTAGTTGTTTCTTCTTCTTCTTCAATGCATTAATTAGCTATGAAGCTTCCTCTGGAGAGAGAAAGAGGGAGAGAGACTTGTCTCTCACCATTGACGAGCTCCATAGCTTTCCCGCGAAATGGAGAAGAAACATAACAAAATTATCTCTCTCTATATAAAAATAAAAATTTTACAACGTTTCTTTTTTAAATTGTAATTTATAATTTTCTTCCCTACCTTAAACTTTGGATGCCCCTTTTTTCCATGGCACTGTGGAGAAGTGGCGCAAATTTGAATTCTTCTGAATGGTAATGCGCGTCCAGGGAGAGATGTGAGATCCAATCCGAGTCTTTATTCGACGCAGTTATTGACATTTTCTTCGCCATCACCACAGTTATTCTTCTTGTGAATGTTTCACTCTTTGAGGAATTATCAAACATGGTGAATTTTCACTCGTTGCTATTGGCTTCTTCGAACATTCTCTTCCCAAGTTGATTCCTTGACCGTTTTCTGGGCACCCTTTGACGTGTCTGTTTCTGGGTGTTATCTGTTTTCTGCATATATATTATGTACTTGGTGCTTTTGCTAAACAATATACGGATATTCGAGCATCTCTGAACCTTTCTGTTATTTTGGTTACAGCTTTTGTAACTTCGTTTTCCTTCTTCTTCTGCGATCAGCCTTTCTTCTTCACTTTTGGGTTGTTGGTTTGATTTGTTTTCTTTCGTTTCGTTGACCCTTAATTGGGTTGAGGGGTTTTGAGTTTTTGGTGTTTGGAATTATGGTTGTGCTTGAAGGAGGATTGTGGTAGGGTGCATTGAGGGTTTTATTTTTATTATATTTGGAAATTGGACAGTGAGCTTGAATTTGACAAGAACTTGGAGGAGGTTGTTAGTTTTGGTAGTTGCTGTCTTTGGTAGTTGGTGTTTAGAGGTGGAGCAAGTAGTTCATCTTTCTAAGGGTCTTCTTCTTCTTCTTTGTTGTTGTTGAGGATATTGGTAATTGAATGGTGGACTTGGGGAGGAAAAGAATGAAGGGAGAAAGGAGAAGGAAGTTGCGGCTTAGCAAAATCTATTCATTTGCATGTGGGAAACAATCTCTCAAGGAGGATCATTCGCAGATAGGAGAAAGAGGGTATTCCAGGGTGGTGTTTTGTAATGAACCAGAGACCTTTGAGGCTGGGATAAGGAGTTACGCTGATAATTCTGTGAGCTCTACAAAGTATAACCTTGCTACTTTCTTGCCTAAGTCCCTTTTTGAGCAGTTTAGGAGGGTGGCTAATTTCTATTTTTTGGTTACTGGCATCTTGGCCTTCACAGAACTTGCTCCTTATACTGCTGTCAGTGCTATCCTTCCTCTGATTATTATCATTGGAGCAACTATGATCAAAGAGGGTATTGAAGATTGGCGAAGGAAACAGCAGGTACTAAATTCTATCTTCTGCTTTACCATCATAATGGTTTGTGAGCTTATTTTATTGAAAGTGAGGCTCTTGAACCTTGTTGTCTTAGACGCTGCAGTACAGCTGTGCAGAGTTGGAACTAATCTGATTCTGTTTTCTAATTTAATTTGAGCAACTTAAAGTATCTGTAAACACTATGTCGGGATAGCAAGGACCCATGACTCGAAGAATATCAGTAATTTTTGAAAGAAAATTGTTGATTCTTGAAAGATGGAGGGATTGTTAGTTTATAAAAATATTTTGTTTCCTTTTTATGGAATGACAGTTTATGGAAAATTCTGGCTATTTTGTTCAGATCCTTACTGTGTTATGTTTGGAAAGTATATAATTGTTAATGCTATCTTCCTGATTAAATTTAATACTGGAGTTGAAACCTCGTAATAATTTTATACAATTATAGTGTGTTAAAATAATCAGAATCTTAATATCTTAAAGCTTTTTCATGCCAAAACTTTTCCAATATTTTAAGTCTTCTTGTCTGTTCTAATATGATTTTGATTTTCATTTTGTGCAATTAAATACCTGTTTGAGATTAAAGGAGTAGGCCTCTAGTTATTTATATTAAGAAAAACTAAATTGCTAATTGTCCAGCATTGTTGGAGTTTATAACCTAGCTAGTGAAATCCTGTAGGATATGGAGGTGAACAATAGAAGAGTTAAAGTGCATACAGGGCAAGGAAATTTTGAATATACTGAGTGGAAGAATCTGAAGGTGGGGCATATAGTGAAGATAATGAAGGACGAATTCTTTCCTGCAGACCTCCTACTGCTTTCTTCCAGTTATGAGGATGCATTCTGCTATGTTGAGACCATGAACTTGGATGGCGAGACAAATTTGAAGTTAAAACAAGGGTTGGAAGTAACTTCTTCCTTACACGAGGACTTTCAATTAGGTGATTTTAAAGCAACAATCAAATGCGAAGATCCAAATGCAAATTTATATTCATTTGTTGGGAACATGGAGTATGAAGAACGGCAGTATCCTCTTTCTCCTCTGCAACTTCTTCTGAGGGACTCTAAACTTCGTAACACAGACTATATATTTGGAGCTGTCATCTTCACTGGTCATGACACAAAGGTAATTCAGAATTCCACTGATGCCCCTTCAAAGAGAACAAAGGTTGAGAAGAAGATGGATAGGGTTATCTACTTCATGTTTTGTATTGTGTTTCTAATGGCGTTTGTTGGATCCATTTTCTTTGGCATTGCAACTAGAGATGACTTGGACAATGGAGTGATGAAAAGGTGGTACCTAAGACCAGATGACTCTACAATTTTCTTTGATCCTCAAAGAGCACCAGCTGCTGCTATATTACATTGTTTCACAGCCTTAATGTTATATGGTTTCTTCATTCCCATCTCATTGTATGTTTCAATAGAAATTGTCAAAGTTCTTCAGAGCATCTTCATCAATCAAGATATCCATATGTACTATGAAGATGCAGACAAACCAGCCCATGCCCGTACTTCAAACTTGAATGAGGAACTTGGCCAAGTTGATACAATACTTTCTGATAAAACTGGAACTCTGACCTGCAACTCGATGGAGTTCATCAAATGTTCCATTGCTGGGGTGGCGTATGGCCGTGGTGTTACAGAGGTTGAGAAGGCTATGGATAGAAAGAATGGTTTTCCTTTGATTGACGATTCAAGGGACTCGCCTGTCAGAAATGCTCCCATCAAAGGATTTAACTTTACAGATGAAAGGATAATGAATGGAAATTGGTTTAACGAGCCTAATGCAAATGTTATTAAGAATTTTTTTCACTTATTGGCAATTTGCCATACAGCCCTACCTGAAGTTGATGAAGATACAGGAAATGTCTCATACGAAACTGAATCTCCAGATGAATCAGCATTTGTGATTGCAGCAAGAGAAATTGGTTTTGAATTCTATAAAAGGACTCAGACTAGTTTATCAATCTATGAATCGGATCCAGTTTCTGGTGACAAAATTGAACGGTCAGTTTTTATTAATTGCTTTGTTTCTTTGATAGTTACAGTTTCTAAATGTTGCATTTTTCAGTGCTAATGAACACAAGAAGGTTAAAATTGAATTCTCACTGAAAAATGCAGGTGCAATTATATATTATTAGGTCTTGTAATAACAAAAGCTAATTGCAATAAAAAGTACTTGGAAGTAGCATTTCTCACATCTGCTACTAATCTTAGTCAATAAATTATAATGCTATAGCTGCACAGGGATGTGGAGTGGAGTCTTATATTGATATTTTTAAACTCCTAGAATGACTGACCAAGTAAACAATGGTGCTTCCGGAATTGGTGAAGTTATGATTTTTTAGCTCAGTGTAGACCCCAAAGATGTTTTAATATTGTTTTACAACATATAGATGGAGGAAAACAATTCTTAGTTAAAATTCAAAATGGGCTAGGCCTAAAATGAATCACAATAGCTTTGCTTGAGGGTGGAGGATTTTCCAAGCCTTATAAGAAGTATTTTGCTATATTTCGAAATCTTGATAGTTCTTGGATGAAAAAAATGGTTAACATTTTTTTCCTAGCCATATTTCCATATCTTAATAAAATTCGTCAAATTTATTTATTCCAAATCTTAACATTTAAGTGGATGAAAAAAATAGTTTATTTATTTTCCCTAGCCATCTTTCTGCTAAGCATAAATGTTTATTTTGTAATGGTGTTTGAAATCAGGGATTTCACAACATACTTGATTAGAAATTCTGTTTTATATTTTCTAAAATAACTTTTAAAATGTATTATTCTTAATTCAGGTATTCCTTATTGCCCTTTGGAATCCAAGTAATGCAGAATGCATCAAATATACACTAACTAGTTTCATGTTTCAGGACATACAAGCTTCTCAATGTTTTAGAATTCAATAGCTCAAGGAAGCGAATGTCAGTGATTGTGGAAGATGAAGAAGGGAGAATTTTGTTACTCTGTAAAGGTGCTGACAGGTTGGTGATAAACTAACCTGTGACCATAGTATATTGGAATTCTTACGGTTGCATTTAAATCTATTTACCACCTTTTTTCTCTTATTTTCATGCAGTGTCATGTTTGAGAGGCTTGCCAAGGATGGGAGGGAGTTTGAGGAGAAAACCTTGGAACATGTACATGAGTATGCTGATGCAGGTCTAAGGACTCTAATTCTGGCATATCGTGAACTTGATGAAAACCAATACAATGAGTTTAACAATAACTTTTCTGAAGCAAAAAATTCAGTTAGTGAAGATCGGGAAACACTGATTGAGGAAATATCAGATAAGATCGAAAGGAATCTAATCCTTCTTGGGGCCACTGCTGTAGAGGACAAGCTCCAAAAAGGGGTGAGTTAGGAAAATAATTGGTTACGTACAAATATATGACACATGGAACCGGACGTGAAGTGATGCTTCTCATATTTTTTTATAGGTTCCTGATTGCATTGACAAGCTTGCCCAAGCTGGAATTAAGATCTGGGTTTTGACTGGGGATAAAATGGAGACTGCCATCAATATTGGGTATAATATAGTGATTATTCCCTTAACATTTGCTTCAGAATGAGAATTCTTCTCAAGATGTTTGACATCAATGTACAATTTCAGTTTTTCTTGTAGTTTACTAAGACAAGGAATGAAACAATTTATAATTCAATTGGAAACTCCAGAAATTAAAGCATTGGAGAAGGCTGGAGACAAGGTGGCTATTGCTAAGGTAATATAAATTTCTTATTTGTTATGATGTAGTTTGCATTTTAACGAAGTCATTATCTTATTATAATATACCAATACGTCTTCTTACATGGACAGTTCATGCGTGCAGTGTATTGTTCTACGCAGTTGATAACTTGAATTTATATTTCATGGATTCCTCCATTCTAGTTTTGCAAACAAAGCGTCTTGGCAAAGTGATATTAATACTAATTAACTGAATTTACATGGCATGGTTGACTATTGTTTTGTAAGATAAGATGCAAGGACAATGATACCAGCATTCTCTTTCTTTCCTTTTGTTTTCACACATTAAAATTTTTCCTTGCCTCTGTATTGTGTTGAAAGAGAAGGGATTGCTTGGTGTGTAAGTGTCTTAATGAAACCAGAGTTAAAACTTGAGGTTCTGATATTTTTATACTGTTATGTATTAGGCTTGTCAAGAAAATATCCGCCATCAAATATCTGAAGCTTCTCAGCAGCTGACTGCCTCCAGAGGAACTTCTCAGCAAGCATTTGCTTTAATTATTGACGGAAAATCACTTTCTTATGCACTAGAGGATAATATGAAGAGCATGTTTTTGGACCTTGCAATTCGTTGTGCATCAGTTATCTGCTGCCGTTCCTCACCAAAGCAGAAGGCACTGGTATGATTCAATCTATTCTATTTCTTCCTCTCTATTTGATATCATGTCCTCATTCTTGTTTTAATTCTGATAATGATTCTGGTTAGCATTCGAAAGTAATGTTTTATATATTGGTTCCTCTCTTAAAGGTCACTAGACTGGTAAAATCTGGTACTGGTAAAACTACATTAGCTATTGGTGATGGTGCTAATGATGTTGGAATGCTTCAAGAAGCAGATATCGGGATTGGAATCAGTGGCGTTGAAGGAATGCAGGTAACGCACCAAACTGATTAACTATTTGTGTTTTGTTCTATAATGGGTTTTTGTTTTGTTACACTTTTTTAAATCCTTCTGTTATTATTGTTGCTCTCAGGCGGTTATGTCTAGTGATATTGCAATTGCACAGTTCCGTTATTTGGAAAGGTTGCTTCTTGTTCATGGACATTGGTGTTACCGAAGAATCTCATCAATGGTATAGTAATTCTTACATCCACTTCTCAACATTCTATTGATCTTGGGGATTTTTGGGAACTTTGAAACAGCCTCTCTAGGTATAGTAGGTTCTTTTTAAAAATATATGGTGTTTCGTAACTACCCCTATTTAATAAAAATGGTTCTTATGGAAGCCAATTTTGAATCATCCATATTCCTATTCCTCTCTTTCAGCCAGATCTAAGGGTGGTTTTTTTGTTAAACTATTCTAGGAACCACTCATTTGTGGAAAGGTCGATAAGCATACTATCGTTTTTCAAATTTAAATTAGATTACATAAGGTTTGGTTTAATGATCATTTATCTAAATTCAAGTTAAACTTAAAACTAGGTTAAAAATGGTTGGGACATTAGCTGCTTCAATTCTTGTTGTGCAACTTATGTGTTCGTTGGTAACTTCACTTAATGACAATTGGTTTCTACTTGTTTTGGTAATCACATTCTGATAGACTCATTTGTTCTTGCAAACATCTGTGGAGGGGTGCTGTTGGATAATCCCACATCGCCTACTTCATTTATATCGATTGGTTTTGAGATAAAATTAGACAAAAATAATCTTAAATTTATGACTAGATTCTCTTAAGCAATTCTAAACCACTAAACAAGTTTTACGAGCTGCCAACTGACCCATAGGCCATAAGAGATAATCTGAAACCTTTGCACTTATATTTACTTGTTTCATTCTTCTTCTGACAGATATGCTACTTCTTCTACAAAAACATCACATTTGGGTTTACTCTATTCTTATATGAGGTGTATGCATCGTTCTCTGGGCAACCGGCATACAATGACTGGTTTTTGTCAGTCTATAATGTATTCTTTTCGTCACTTCCTGTGATTGCTCTTGGAGTCTTTGACCAGGATGTGTCTGCTCGGTATTGTCTGAGGGTAAGCTATTGTGTTGCTCTTCTCATGATGATTTTGAGGTGAAATTTTTCCTTCGTAAAATAGTGTGCTGAGTGATGGAAGAGTAGAGAGAACCCACCATTCAAAAAAGATAACAAAGCCTTGCAATAAGTCATATGATTACATCTACTTTAGACCAAATTCTACATGTTGACCTAATGGATTTTTCAGTTTTTACCCTTTCCTGGTGGCTTCAGTTTCATCATGATATTGATAAGGGTAGCAATAATGTTAAAACACAGAAGTCACCTTTGAATTATACAACGTAAATAAACCCCCCTTTGGATTTATCCAATGTAAAACATAGTATGCATTGATTTTTCTGTATCTTGAGATCCTAGTTTTCTTCTCTAATGCTCATTCCATGTTATTTGCATTTCACATGGCAGTTTCCTATATTATATCAAGAAGGCGTGCAAAATCTTCTCTTTAGCTGGCGGAGAATTTTCAGCTGGATGCTAAATGGCTTTATAAGTGCCATAATAATTTTCTTTTTCTGCACAAAAGCAATGGAAATTCAAGCCTTTGATGAGCAGGGAAGAACTGCTGGCAGGGATATACTCGGAGCAACAATGTACACTTGTGTGGTTTGGGTTGTGAACTTGCAAATGGCTGTTGCTATAAATTACTTCACCTTGATTCAACACATTTTCATCTGGGGTTCCATTGCTCTCTGGTACCTTTTCCTCCTGGCATATGGTGCAATGTCTCCCAGCATTTCAGGAAATGCTTACAAAGTCTTCATTGAAACTCTTGCTCCATCGCCCTCCTTCTGGATTGTGACATTGGTTGTCGTGATCTCAACACTCATCCCATACTTCTCTTACTCAGCAATACAGATGAGGTTCTTTCCCATGTATCACGAAATGGTACAATGGATAAGGCATGAGGGAAAGACAAATGATCCTGAATTCGTCGCTATGGTGCGGCAAAGATCACTGCGGCCAACAACTGTCGGTTCAACGGCTCGCTTGGTGGCTAAGGATAATGACTTCAAAGACAGTTCAACTAACCATAGATAGTATATGTTGACATATTTGTTTCAACAGTGGAATGATGCGTAGTTTGTGTTTACCACCTTTGTTGTGCATAGATTCACGAAATTGCTTACAGGCTCCTCTCAACCAGAAAGCAATGTTGCTTACATCTACTTCCTTGGTAATGGCACGGTGCACATAACCAAACCATCATTTGGCTGTCAAATTTGGCAAATGAATAAAACGTATACCTCATTTTTTGGCCATTTGAGGCTGTAAGTGTTAATTTATAGTTTGTTTTTTGTATCATAGATTGTAGCAGTTACCGTGTACAGCTTGAATTCTTTGTAAAATTATATAGCATAGCTTCTTATTATAGAAATCAGTTCCTTCATTCCTTTTCAGTAATTCTTCTGTTGAACCTATCATCTTAGAAATGCCTTCATTACTCCTTGATTTTCTTCATTTCTGTTTTCTTCATTTTTTGTAAATAATAGAGAAATGTAATGTGTGAAATGCTACTCACTTTTATATCTCTGGTTTTTGGGAAGCCTCAAAATAGATGTATGATCAGAATTGTGGCCTGAACTATTTGAACCTTTTATTATCAGAATCATAACTGATAAGTTCCTTCCACTAGTTTTATCTCCAAACTCTTTTACTTTCCTGCCTTTAGTTCTTAGAAATCCATTCAACACTTTCATGCTCGCTCTTTATTCGTTCATAAAACTGTTCTTTGCATCCACAACATCAAAATCTTAATCTGCAAGACCATATCTATTACCTGCTTGTTTGTTTTGTATTTTTTTTATAACTATCTTTAATAGAATTAATTTTGAATAATTATATATAATGAGATGTATACTCAAATTTTCACAAATCTACAATATATCTACTATATAACTAAGAAAATATATTACTAGGAAATTTACTTTTCTAACCATTGTTATTATGTTGATAAGTGTCTAAAATGTTGTTGCTTAAGTTATTAACTAGTCGAGTGAGCCGTGTATATGCATTTTTTTTTAATAATTGTCTTCATTTTGTATATAAAAATAACAAAATAGTGAAATTATTATGTAATGAGATTATACATAAATTATGTTTTATTTTTATAATTGTTATTATTAAAATAATTGTATTGAATGGTAGTTCGGCTAAGTTCCTCCAGTCGAGTTGATTTAGGTTGAGCTTTGCACGACGAGTTTTTCTAGGCTAAGCTCTTTCAGGCCAAGCTCTTTCTTCAGGTTGAGCTCTAACTAAAGGTAAAGCTCTCCCTCCAGGTCGACCACTCCCTCAAGGTTGAGCTCTTCCCTAAGTCAAGCTCCTACAAGTCAAGCTTTATAGGCTAAGCTCTTTTAGGTTGAGCTCCTCCAAGATGAGCTCCCTCGAGACCGAGCTCCTTCAACCCGAGCTCCTCCAACGTGTAGGCCGAGCTCCTCCAAGCCGAGCTATAAATATGCATTAATCACACTCTCACACTTATCCTTTTGCACTCTTGGACAAAATTAATTAATTCCAAAACTTGTTATGAGTTATTTTATGAATAACACTAGATACAGATAAATTATCTCAAAATCAATTTGTCATGGACATGCAGATGAAAACATTATATTTTTAACATATGAGTTGAACTTTTGAATTTTCAAGGAAATCAAATATGAAAGATATCATTCAAGTCAAAATGTATTTATCTCTCCCCAACTTTCTCAAGTGTTCTTGACTTGTGTTGTCACTTAAAATATGTATGTAATTAAACACCCTTGATATTTAACCCTAATATTTACATACTTCACGGAATTAATGATCATGAAAACTTTTTAAAGATTATAACGAGACCAATGCAGTAAAAAGAAATTTAGAATTGTTTGAGTTTTTGAAATAAATATAGAAAGAATAATGGAGCTTGATTTCAAAACCAACTTTATTATTTGTTGGTCTTGTAAGAAAACATTTTTCTCCCTTTTCTTTTCTTTTCTTTTTTTCTTTTTCTTCTTTTTTTCTTTATTTTGTTTTTCGTTTTTTTTTTCAAAATTCTAACTTTTTATCTTTCTTTTTGCCATTTTTATTATTTTGTAGGTGAGGTACTCACCTATACATTTATTCATCACTTATTTCTAATACAATTCATTACCCCTTTTTTCTTCCAATAGTAAGGAAAAATATGATTTTTCTTCTTTTCACATTTTGACAATGGACTGAAAATAAGAAAATAGTTTTAAGACTCAAAGGGCTTTCAATAGTTTTAAGTAGGTTGATCCTTTTATGTGGTTGAGTCACGAGTTTGTAATTGTTCTCCATTAAGATTCCATGCATACAATATGATGGACTAATTCCCTTCAAGCTTGTGAGACCCCTTTGTTTATGAATATGTAGAACATAAATACTAGTACAAATGCACAACTATAATGAAGCCCAATGTCAAAACATGTATCCGGATAATTGAGTTTAGAGTCATCTGGATGTATGTTCATTTGAGTTATGATATATTATAATTGTTAATCTAATATATTATATGCTTAAATAGTTTTATGAAGTTTTGTTTTGAATACTAGCTTACACTACTTTTTTTTTTCTTTCTATGATGTTTCTCTTTTGCAATAATTATTCATTGGTGTGAGTAGTAGATGAGTTAGGTGCCAACATATGTTTCTAGTGAAAGCTAAACATATTGTTGAATATAGTTTATGTTTTAGTTAGTTGTTTTTATAACATTTAGTTATCTTTAGAAAAAACTTGTTTAATTTTTGTACATATAATATGTTATTAATATTTTGTAGGTTTTCTACCTATTTGGGGGTACTATCATATAATTTATAATCTTTTGTTTAGTAGTTTATAAATGTCATGGTACATTTAACCCTAATTTTAATTATATTTTATATTACATTATTTACAAAATTAATTAAATATATCCTATGATAAAAATAGTAATATATTATTATTAAATATACAAAATAAAATATTTATATTAAATTTCAATTATTTTTTTATAAATTTAAATTTACATAAAATTATATTCTATCTTTTAAAATGTTCCGTGCCATTGCACGGATAAAAAATAGAGTTTGTCTAATAAAGGAAGCCGTGGTAGAGAGTTTCTTCAAACTAATAAATAGATCCCATTTTGGGGTTCAAAACATAAAAATAAGGAAAGCCTTTGAGGACCATCGAAGAAGAGACCCCAAAAAAGAAAAGCTAAATCAAACAACTCTACTGGTATATAAATATTTTTAATTTAAAATATAGTATTCAATTTAAAAATATTATTTTATTCCTCTTACCACCAACCAAGCACTTCAACTACTCTTTCACACTCATTTCCATTTTCTTATCAGAATTCCCACCAACCTTCGCAAGCTCATCTTCATCTAATTTTTTTCTCTCCAATGGACTCTCCAAACGTCCTGGTATGGTAGTTCTCATTTCCATTTCTGTTTCTCTTCAATCCAATCAATGCTTCTTTCAATTTCAATTTCAATATCAATTTCGATATCTGTTTGTTCTTCTTCAGTTCACTGCTCCATCGGTGGGTAGGAAGAATGCTACCCTAATTTGCGTTCCAATAATGGGGGAATCCATTGAGAAAATGAAGATTGACGTGGAGAAAGCCAAGGCTGGAGGTGCTGACGTTGTCGAAATTCGATTGGACTCTTTGAGTACCTTTGATCCCTATCAAGATCTCACTACTCTCATTCAACATCACGCTTTGCCCTTGTTGTTCACTTACAGGTTTGCAATTCCTACCTCTAGTTTTTCTCCCACGCTTTGCCATTACTGCTCTGCACTTTTGGTGGCCGCAATAATAGAGCCGATGATTACAGTTTAACAACTTTTACGTTGTTCTCTGGAGATGACCTGATTCTAAATCTTTACCCTAAACAAACAGGTTTTTGCATATTTAAAGGGTAGAATGATGAATTTGTTGTTAAAAGCGTCCTAAAATTTACATACATATTAAAATAAAACTTTTCAAAATATTTTTTTCTCTATCATATTCATATTTTTGGAAAGTCTTTTCCGTGTTATTATTATTAGAATTTTCATGAACATTAGTCGGGATGAATAAATATAAAATAATTGTGATTTAAATGGAATTTATTTATTTTTAATTTTATCTTTTTCACCTTATTATAAGTTAGTCCAACTCATAGATTTATGACTATAAAATAATAATTAAAAATTAAAATAATTTACTACATCATTAAAATTAAAATTTAATAAAATAATTTAACTTTTAAAACTATATACTTTAAATTTACTTAACAAAAATAAGTGAATTTAGTTTAATAGTAATTTTTAGGTGATTTTTTAATTATTAAAATACAATATACTCTAATACTGTTATTATAATTATTATTAGTAAGATAAGATGTAATTTAGTCTTGAATGTTTTATTGTTTTGGAAACACAAATTGGATTTGTATGCTATTGTTAAGATACAATTTTATACAACATATTTTATTTTATTTTAGATTATGAAATTATATTTTATTATACTATTTTGTATATTGTTAGTTATTAAAATAGTTTTATTGATACAAGTTTGATCCTGGTTCGATTTCGATTTAAACATCGAATCTTGAATCATATTTTGAAAAGTATATATATAGGGTAAAATGGTAATTTACAAAAGAAATTATCGGGACAAGCAGTAAACAAAAATGTGTTCAGCGAAATTTTATGTCCAATAAATAATTTTTAACTGTGTTTTTTATTTAATACCTTTACTTTATTTTTTAAAAATTGAAATTAAGATATATTAATTATTTGTATAAAAAATGTGTATTATCTTCCCTTTCAATTAAATCGTATTTTATTTTAAGTTCTAATAAATCTTGACAGTCTTAAAATACTATTGTTATATCATAATATTAACTTTAAATTATATTTTTTTTATATTAAATAATAAAATGCTCTCAAAAGAAAGAGTATGATAAGGATATTTCAATTTATATGATTAATATGATTAAATTTTTATAATTTGTATGCATATAATAAAGTTATTCTATGCATTTACAAGTTTAAATGCTAATTGCATTTAATAGCAACTATTTAGAATAGATGACCGATTTTAGTCACAGAATTTATTAAGTATGGTTTTGTATGAAATAAAAAATATTTATGTGATGTGATAAAACATCATAAAACTTATTATTCGTTTTGAAATATAATATTTGATTAATATATTAATGATTTATTAGCAAAAATATTTATTATAAATATTAGTGTATTATAAATTTAACATCAGAATATTTATTTTAAATTTTAGTATATTTACATTTTTCTCATGAATTAATTAAAGACACATGATTTTATACATAAAAAAAATGTTTATTGTTTTTTTTCTAAACAGTTAAACTGTTCTAAAAAATATTTATATGTTTCATATTTGATTTTTACTTTTTTTTAAACTAGGAAGAGTGAAGTTCTTCTAATTTTAAATCATCATAATGACTTAGTTCTCCTCTTTGAAGGCTATGGTAATTTCTCGTAACTTTTTAAGTCTTCAAATCTAAAAGTGAAAACATTTGTTATAAATATCAAAATAACAATACTATGGCTATATATTATATGTAGCTATAGTGTGTAGCCTCTCGTAGCTGTCATCTGCTTTTATCTACTATAGTTGTGCGCTTAAATTTGAATTTGTTGGGCCGTGAGCTATGGTGTGATTTAATTGGAAGATTTAAGCGTTGTGAATGATGAAATTCAATATCTTTTGTAAGGCCCAAGTGGG